ATGACTATAATCTTCAAATATTCAAGTGTAATGTCAATCGACATCTGATATCCTTATCTTGTTACTGTCCTTCTCTGTATCCTTTCCTCAAACACGCCCCTTTACTCTTGTTCTCAATCCTCTGTAACACCTTGTGTGCTAGTGCCACTCCCGCCTTGCTTTGGGTGAATTGCTTTAAAAAATAAATAAATAAATAAAAGTGGATATTGAATTCAACAACCAGAAGCGACAGTTGGTTTTATGCTAAACACACTGAAACAGACTGTTACCTCTGGATGTTGATTGCAGTGTTCACTTTCATACTTATCCCCAATATGAAGCACTTTAACATATGAATATAGCATGTCTTAAGACCATACTTTATCATATACAGGGTGCGATGGATAAATTGTCATCTAAATAAATTGTTGTTTAATTGATGCAAAAATGAAAATAACACTGACATCTCATTTTAACAGATATTTTACCAAATTACATAAAAATATCTTGAAATACTAAAGAGTAAATTTATTCAATAAAATCACCATTGGCTTCAACCATGGCCTCCAGATAACTTCAGGATCTCCTGCAACTCTTCTGATGGCCTCCTTGTTTAAGGGTGAATGCTGCCAAATCCTTGCCTTCAGTTCAAATGCAAGAGTTTTGTTGGTGTCTTCATAACTATACCCATATATAATCAATTGCAATAGGGATATGGCATGATGTAAATATGTGGTTTTGTCTGACAGCCATGGCTGGGTTCTCTTTTGATATGAAATGGCTCTTTTGCTCATAAATATAGGGCCTTCCAGCAGGAAAGATGAATGGAACATAATGCCACCATCATTGCTTTCACTCTAAACACCTTCATAATCCCATTAGTACCAACTCTTTCTGAATCTCCTACACTGTCACCCAAAACATCCAGAAATGTTCGTATTTGCAATGAATGACAACCAGTACCGATACTGTTTTCAAATTTCTCACTGAGTGAACTGCATCATGGTGCTCTTTTCTCACAAACGTGCCCAAATGACCCTACTATACTCTGTGGTTTCTAAAACACGCATGTGCAAAATTAATAGTGGTGAGTATTTACCCATCGTTCCGGAGAAAAGGAAATGGTATCAATATATGATTAACATGAAAAATAAATATTAAAATATAAATATATTATCACCTACAATAAGCAATCTACCACAAATCCATATTAATATTTAATTCAGGATTTCTTAACCTGGGGCCTTTAGGCTTCCTATGTTACAATGTTACAAACTTGAGGATGATGCAATATTGCATAAAATTGCAGTTTGTTTACATTAATTACAATTGGATGGTGCAGTATCCGGCAAAAAGAGAAACATTTGCCAGGTGATTTTAACCTTCTTACCAAGACTAATTCTTTTTTATGTGCTGTGTTCCTTCCAGATATAGGTGGTAATGGCTCTCCACAACTTCCTATCTCTTGTTGCTCTAAGAAACATTTGACCATCCCTATTTGTCCCTGGTTTTGTCCATTCACCGAAAACCCATTAAATTTGTTACTCACTGTGTCTCAGCATAAAATTATTGCTTGAATATGCCAGCGATATTGAATTTTATAAATTTTACCTCATTCATTAGTCCTGGGTATGACGATAAACCTCATCTGGCAGCAAGGCCTCTGTTTAGGATATTGGAGATTTTAGGAGCATGGAACCCCACCTCTTAATTATTATTGCTCCCAGGTCCACCCTGACATGGGGTGGTAGCACTTGTTAGGGTCCCCAGCAAATAGTGACTAGCCTAAATAACCTATAGATGTTGATTTGCTGCTAAAAAATCAACCAACCAAACATCCAATATAAAATAATTTTTTTATGACATTAGTCCATATAATATCCTACAATTTCTTAAAGAGATCAAACTGTATTCTAAAATAAAACTTCAACAAAACTACAACATAAAACACACATCACAACCTCTAAAATTTATGTTCACACAAACATGTATATACAGAAAAGCTGAGTATCATCTACCATGTATTCAACTGTGAAAGCAGAACAACATATATCATATCTTTATTGGTTCTAATCTCCCAAGAAAATTACATTTCAGCATTAAATGACCCGTAAGGAGTTGATATGCCATTAAACAAACAAACCTCATTCATTAGCAGTATGCAAGTTTACCATGTGATTTCATGAGTTATTCTAATGAGTATCCTTATCTTTGTTATTTTATCACAACATTTTTGGCACAGTTTGTCTCTTGCTCTCCCTACCTATCCTTCTTACTCTCTCACACACACACACACACACTTCTCTCTCTCTCTCTCTCTCTTCCACACACATTTCTCTATCTCTCTTTAAGAATAATCCAAAATTGTGTATATGCTAACAAGATTTCGATTTTGGTAAATTCTATCAAATCTTGATTTGATCCCACAAGTTATACTGACGAGTATCTTTATCTTCATTATTTTATCACAACTCTTTTGGCTACTGATGTCCTCAGTCAATATGCATCATCCATCTCTCTCTTGTTCCCACTCTATCTCTCTATCTCTGTAAACTCCACCACCAACCCCACCAAAAAATATAAATAAATAAACTATAGACTTGAGGAAGGGTGAAGAAAGCATCAACCAAAATGTTGTGGTAAAAACAACAAAGATCGGGATACTAGTCCAAAAGAATTGTGAAATGATGACAATGATTCCCCTTAAGAGCTCTAGATAAATTAGCAAAGTGTTCAGGGGAAAAATAAGGCTGTCTGCTTCAAAACAATTGATAGGAGCAGACGATTTCTATAAAGAGATTTGACTTCCTTTCATCCAAAATGTAATTGCATGTAAAAATAGACATGGGTCTTTATTGTAGCCATAAAAGGTTCTGACTTGGACAAAACTCGAATGGACAAAGGTAATTTGTCTAAAGCTTAAACATGGGCAATGCCATTTATAAAAGATTGCATACAAAGATGATGAAATGCTGCAGTAAATAAGTATCATGATTTTGTTCTTTCTTTCTTTCTTTCTTTCTTTCTTTCATTAACTCTTTGTCTCTCTCTTTTGTTGTCTCTTTCTTTTTTTGTCTCTTTCTTTATTTTCCACTGTCTTCTCTCTCTACCTTCCTGCCTATCTTTTATCAACTCTTTCCCTCTTTCTCACTCTTGCTCTCTTCTCTCTTCCTTTGATTTTCTCTTTTGATCTTCTCTCTATCGTTCTCCTTATCTTTCATCTACACTTTCTCTCTTTTTGACTCTCTTGCTCTCTTTCTCTCTTTCTTTCATTTTCTCTTTCTCTCTTTCTCTCACTCTTGTTCCTTCTTCTTTATGTTCCATTTTTCCTTTACCTTTCAACCACTACCGCTGTGTATTTATTATATATTAATATATCCTTATTTTATATATGTGCTGCATCCCTTCAGGACGTAGGCGATCATGGCTTTCCACTTCTCTCTTTTCCCTTGTAGTAGTTCTTAATAAGTTTTGTCCCTTTGCCGCTACTTCCCCTAGTCCCTGTTCTATCATCCACTTACTTAAGCCCACTAGGTATATCATATGCATTGCTTTCTCTTGTCTCTCTTTCCCTCTATCTGACCTGTGAGTATCAGATTCTCCAAGCCCTCCTTTCTCATTACATGTCCCAGAAGTTTCAGCTGCCTCTTCCCGATGTTAAGTATAAGCTTCTTGTTCATTTGCATCCTCTCCAAAACCTCATCATTGCTTACACGCTCGATCCATGATATCATTAGCATACTTATGTAGATCCACACATCTGATGCCTCGTGCACCTTCTTCATCTTTGAGGAGACTAACATTCACTGCTGTAAAGGAGAACAGATGTCATGTAACAGCTCAGTATTCTTTTCTTTGTTACTAAAGAAATCCTCCTGTCTTGTAATATTCTGCCTAGCTTTTGGAATGCATCTTTGGCCATCCCAATGCATCTTTGGATCTCAACACTTCCCGTCCTCAGTCAAAACACTTCCCACATATTTAAATTTCTGCACCTGCTTGATTTTAATGTAAATCGCATTTCGGGCTCATCTGTTTACTGATGACCATGCATTCTGCTTTGTAGTTTATGCTTAGTCCTTTCTTCTTGCTTTCCATCGCTACCTTCTCTAGGAGGTTTTGTAATTTCTTTTCCATGCCTGCTATCAACACTGTGTCATCTGCATGTCTTATATTGTTAAGATTGTGGCCACCAATGCTAAATCTCAGTAGGATTTCCAATTCTCTCAGAGGCAATTCTAAAATAATTGGAAGTCCTATGAGGATTCGTCGCTTACAAATATTAATTGTATTCAGAATTTTCAAAAGTCATTTCAAAAAAATCTGAACAAGTGAATGTGCTTTAAAGCAAATAGAAGCTTGCTTGATTGTGAAGCTCTCTGTAGCTGAACAGTCAAAGCACACTGGATTAGATTTAATAAGAGTATCTAGGTTCTCCTACCACTCAATTCACACTCCTCCCTAATCTTTTGAACAAGAGTAGAGGTTTATTCCTTGTTTCCGGTTTAGGACTGGAATTTCAGTTCCTTCTAAAGTCTTCTCTTTCATTAGTAACCCCTTGCATCTTAGTGGCATTATTGCCTTGCTTGGGGTCTATTAATTAAAAGAAAAAAGTGGTTCATCCTGCAAATGGGATCACAGGTTTAAATCCAGTCAGATGGCAAATTTTCTATATTGTTTTCTGAAGTGCACCAACCGGTAGACAAAATAAATATTTAAAATAAATGGAGCATCTATTCAAATATGGGTAACGACTAAAAAATAACGCTTGAAGTAATAAAAATATATTCTCTATATATTTCTTTTTTCTCACTATCACTCTCTTTTTTTATCTCCTCTTTTTTTGCTATTTTTCTCTCTTCTGTCTTCCTCTCTATATTTCTTCTACTCTCTCTCTCTCTCTCTCACTTTTCAAATGACCTAGCATACAAAACATGGTTTCTGGTCTTTCTAAAATTTGACATGACATAAAATGATTGTATTTGCTTCAGAGGCAATAATAAAATAAAAACAAAACAACATTATTCATAAGACGATAAAAATAAAGGTTTTGTCTGCTTTTGTTGAATATACACCTGCTGTCGCAGTGTATGTGTGTGTGTGTGGATGTGTAAAATAAAGAAAAATAAGTACAAAGAGAGAAAATGAGGAACAAATAGAGAAAAAGAAAGAAAATGAGTAAAAAATAGAAGGAAAATATATAGAAAAATAGAAGAAAGAAAAAAGAAAAATATGTAAAAAGAATACAAGGAAAAAAGAAAGAAAAATAAATAGAAAATAGAAGAAAAAAGAAAATATACAGAAAAATAGAAGGAGAAAAAAGAAATAAAAATAGGAGAAAAAAGAAATAAAAATAAGTAAAAAAAGAAAGAAAAATATGAAAAAAAATAGGAGAAAAAAGAAAGAAAAACATGTAGAAAGAAAGAAAACGAGTAACAAATAGATAAAGAAAGAAAAGTAGAAAAATAGAAGAATGAAAATGAGTAACAAGTAGATAAAGAATAATAGAAAGAAAGAAAAATAATTAAAAAAGAAAAGAAAAAACAAAGAAAAATATATAGAAAAATAGAAGAAAGAAAAAGAATGAAAATGAGTAACAAGTAGATAAAGAAAAATAGAAAGAAAGAAAAAGAAAGAAAAATAATTAAAAATAAAAGAAAGAAAAACAAAGAACAATATGTAGAAAAATAGAAGAAACCAAAAGAAAGAATATGTAAAACAATAAAAAAAGAAAAAAATAAGTCAAAAACTGATGAAAGAAAAAAAAGGAAAATGTATGTAGAAAAATAGAAGAAAAAAGAAAATGAGTAACAAATAGAAAAAGAAAGAAAAAACGAGTAAAACATAGAAATGAAAAGAAAGAAAAATAGAAGAAAGAAAATTAGTAACAATGAAAAATAATTAATAAATAGAAGAGAGGAAAAGAAAGATTAATATATAATAATGAAAGAAAGGAAGAAGAAAGAAAGAAAAATAACAAAATAGAAGAAAGGAAAAAGAAAGAAATAGCAGAAGGAAAAAAAGAACGTATGAAAGAAATTGTTAAAAGAAAAAAAACTACGAAAGAATAATTAGAATAAATAGAAAACAGAAAAAAAATGCAAGAGAAAAAGAAAAGAAAAATTCCAAGTTCTTTCTTTCTTATTACCTTTGAAAATTTCCCTCCAAAAATGTTTCATTGGTTATGCCTTTCTCACAGATGCGCCATGTCTTCCCTCTGTCTTTTCTACAAGTATTTTCATGGCAACTGCTCCAACAAGCTACTTTCGCTGGTTACCAAACTGCAAGAATTTAAACGTGCTACTAGGTTGGCATCTTGGTCCCACTATTGAAACAGTTAAATGTGGTCGTCTCTTCTACACCAGCAGCTTCTTGTCTCACACTTCCCGTCTGTGGAACTCCCTTCCTCTTACTTGTTTACCTGATAGCTATAATCTTCAAGTGTAATGTCAATTAACATCTTCTGATGCCTTGATCTTGTGTCCCGTCCATCCTCTTTATCCTTTTCTCAAACACCTCTCTTTACTCTTGCTCTCATTCTGTGTGGCACTTTCGCCTTACTTGGAGGTGAAATGCTTAAAAAAATAATTTAAAAACATGCTGACCCTCCTGTATTCCTTGGTTCAAGGCTTTATCCTTGGTCCTACTTTGTTTTTAATTTCAATTAACAACCTTCCCAATGGTATTAGCCCTCAACTTGGTATCTATGCTGATGACACAACCATTTACTCCTGTCTTGATACCAAGTCTAATCGATCCAATAATGTAAAATTGGTGGCTGAAGTCAAAAACAACCTTCAGTCTGTTGTTAAATGGAGCAAAGGATGGCTTGTTAATTTTAACACCTCCAGAACTAAACAACTCTTTATTAATCATCTGAGACCTCTTTCTACATTCCATCAGCATGGCTGATGCTAACCTTCAGAGGAATGACTCGTTGCACCTTCTTGGGCTAACATTCTCAACTGACATGAAGTGGAAAGACTATATTAAATCAGCTGCTAAGAAAGTTGGCTCACTGTGTCATGCTAGACAATTTTTTTCTCCTGACTATCTTATATATCTATATGTCTACCATTCATCCATTATTAAATTATTACTGCCAAATAGGGTCTTGTGCTCCTGCTATATCTAGAGAATCTTGATAAAATACAAAGAAGAATCAGCAATATTATTGGTCCTGACCAGGCCTCTCGGCTTCAGTCACTTTCCCACCACCGTAAAGTTGCCTCCCTGTGCCTTTTCTATAGATACTTCCATGGCAACCGTTTAGATGAGCTATTTGCCAGGGTGCCTAGACTTTATGGCTTTAAGCACAGTACTAGATTGGTGACAAAGTCCCAACAATATACAGTTAAGTTGGCTAGATATAACCCGTAAGTTCTATGCTAACATTTTCTTTTCTCACACTTCTCGACTGTGGAACTCCCTTTCTGCTCCATGCTTTCCAGCCAACTTTAATCTTCAAAAATTTAAATGCAATATTAATCACTATCTGCTGTCCTCCTGATTACACTTTTTTCGTTCTTACTCCTTAGTAAAGTTTCTGTTTTCTAATTCTACCACATCCAGTAACCCCCCTCATGTCCTCATGCCTTCGTTGCCTTGCTTGGGGTGAAATCGATAAAAAACAAAAATCTTTAAAAAAAAAATGTTCACTTATTTACATGTTGAGTTTAGTCTATGACGAAAAATTTGAAAGTGCGGACATAAGACTCAACACTGCATGATATGTCATTTTCCCACTTCAACACGCTATTCAGACAAATATGTACAAAACTGCAAAACATGCCCCACTAATAACCAAAAGACAACATTAAATACTTACATTGGGCACACATGTACCACACTCTCTTGCAGACTAACCTGTCACGTGTCAAAACTTAGCGCAATCCGTGCACATATCAACCAGTACATCATGAACAACCAAAGTACAAATATCAACATAAGACAAATACTAGTAGATAACACTAGAATATTCTACAGCACAAGGATGCAAGGAAAAACTCAAAACTCTAGATGCCATTATTATACAAAATAAACATCCCATATTAAATAAAATATTATTCACCACAGGAGAAGGTATCTTAAATTACATAATTAATGTGCGCACATATTTTATTATCATAATAAAATAAATAAAATACAAAATAAATTAAAACTTTAAATTAATTAATAAATAAATATAAATTGCAATCATTTTTGTGTGAATTCAATCCCAATAGCCATGATGCATGATATCACACTAGACTATTTCAAATATTCAGCTATCCAAAGAAAATCAGGATACAAACAAACCAATTCTAACTATCATACAGACATCACATCACTTCTTGATAATGACTGCATATATATGTATATCTATAGTGACATGAATGTTTGTTTATTTTTTTTCTTCCAAACACAGTCAGCTCATTGTGGCCATGTACATAATTGATATTAACCGAGTGGCTGGCTTTTTCTTTTTCATTATTAATGCCTACATTATTAATATATATATATATATATATATATATGTGTGTGTGTGTGTGTGTGTGTGTGTGTGTGTAATGAGTAAATAAATTAAAAACTTCATTGAATTTTTTATTTATTTAATGCTCCAGTTCTTATTATTGGGCTCTTTATTTGCAAAATCTGTTCAGCTTAAATGTGGTTATCCCCTGCTAATTTACTGGCCAGTGTATTTTGTTAGGCGTAAACAGTCTTTGTTATTATTAAATACAAATTTTATGGTCACTAGCTACGTATTTATGAGTACATCCGTCTGTTAGGGCGGATAACTAATTCCAGCTACAGACACTCCACAGATTCGCTACACAAGTGCAGAAAAAAAATGTTTCTGATGTAATTCTATTCACTATCTGTCTGCACGTGAAGTTGGATCAGTATGTTCATAGCCTGACACAGCTAATAGCTGAATTTTTATCTGAAATGTTTAACTATAAAAATTTGTTCTATATTATTTATGAAGAAGCGTTGTGCTTTGAGTGATTTGACGAGAGATGATGTTTAAACAGATAAATGGATACATGGATAATGAAAAAAATTAGATGGATATATAATGAAAAAAAATTAGATAAGGAAAAAAATTAGATAATGAACAAAGATAATGAACAAAATTAGATGAATAGAACGAACAAAATTAGATAAATGAACAAAATTAGATGGATAGTTAACGAACAAAATTAGATATTTAATGAACAAAATTAGATGGATAGTTAACGAACAAAATTAGATATTTAATGAACAAAATTAGATATTTAATGAACAAAATTAGATGGATAGTTAACGAACAAAATTAGATATTTAATGAACAAAATTAGATGGATAGTTAACGAACAAAATTAGATATTTAATGAACAAAATTAGATGGATAGTTAACGAACAAAATTAGATATTTAATGAACAAAATTAGATGGATAGTTAGCGAACAAAATTAGATATTTAATGGATGGATAGTTAACGAACAAAATTAGATATTTAATGAAAAAAATGGATAGTTAACGAACAAAATTAGATATTTAATGAACAAAATTAGATGGATAGTTAACGAACAAAATTACATATTTAATGAACAAAATTATATGTATAGATAATGAAGAAAATTAGATTATGAACAAAATTAGATGGATAGTTAATAAATAAAATTAGATACAAGCTGAAAGTCATTATCTGTTGTTCCAGTTTTCAAGAACTCTGGTGAGCCGTCCGACCCTTCCAACTATTGACCTATTAGCGTTATACCTCTTTTTGGGAAAGTTCAAGAGGCCCTAATTAATGCTGAATTCGTTCAGCATCTCTCATCACTGGGTTTTTTCTCCAACAAGCAATATGGCTTTCGTTTCTCTAGGAAAACTGCTGATGTACTGATGATAATTGCGGAAAGAGTCTATCATGCTCTCGATAAAAACAGTGAAGCCCGAGCTGTAGCTTTGGACATCACGAAAGTCTTTAAGAGGATTTGCCATACAGGTTCTTCTCCGGACACATATTTGAACTCAGCCAGTCTTTCTTATCAAATCGTGAAATGAAAGTTATCCTGAATGGCCACTCATCTAGATCCTTTCATACTAATCTGAGTGTCCCCCACGGATCCAGCTTTGGTCCCACTCTGTTTATAATTTTCATTAATGACCCTCCTGATGACATCAGCTCTCAATATGTCATCTCCGCTGATGACACAATCATTTACTCCTTTCTTGATACTAAGGCTGATTAGTCTGACAAGATCAAAATAGCATCTGGTGTCCAAAACGACTCAGACGTTAACTGGGGCAAATGATGGCTTGTTAATTTTAATGCTTCTGTTATGGTAATTTACCCACGCATGCATGGACTCTCCTAGCTATAAATAGGAGCAGGTACTGCCTTTTGGAGAGGGAAGTTTCCGGCAGTCAGCTCTATGAGTCGGACCGAACACTCTCTTTTGTATATATTTGTATTACTGTTTCTGTTAATATATTTGTTTAACTCAATTCCTCCCTTGTGTCTTTATTTCTAGCCCTAACAAGGCCATAACAACTTCCAAAACTAAACTTCTCTCCATTAATTATCTGAGAGACTTCTCACTGCCTTCCATCAGGATGGCTGATGATATCCTCCAGAAAAGAGACATATTACACCTTCTCGGACTCACGTTCTCTGCCAATATGAACTGGAAAGACTATACTGAATCCATTGATAGGCCAACTGCCAAAAAAGTTGGTTCATTGTGTCGTGCAAAAAATTTTTTCTCTGCAGAATCTATCTTACATATCTATAAGTCTACCATTCATCCATGCTTAGAATATTGCTGCCACATATGGGCCGGTGCCTCGGCTATTTACCTTGAGCTCCTTGATAGAATCCAAAGAAGAATCAGCAATATTATTGGTCCTGATCTGGCAGCTCGGCTTCAGTCTCTTTCCCACCGCCGTAAGGTTGCCTCTCTGTGTCTTTTCTATAAATACTTTCATGGTAATTGTTCGGGTGAGCTCTTTGCTCTACTACCTAGACATCATGAATTTAAGCGCAGTACTAAACTGGCATCAAGATCTCATTAATTGACAGTTGAACTGTTGTTTAGATATTGCCATAGTTTATATGCTAATCTTTTTTTTTCTCGTACTTCTCACTTGTGGGACACTCTTTCACATCTAGGTTCCAGCC